TGGGGGCAGCTGGTGTTGGGGGGGTAGCAGGCGTGGGGCAGCTGGTGGGTGGGAAGTGGTGTCTGTGGGCTGGCAGACGTTTCCTCAGTGGCCGACTGTCCAGAGCTCATGCCTGCTCTTACTAAGGCCGGGCAAACGCGGCCTCGAAGTGCGTCAGGGAGTGCACTTAGCGAAGCGGCCAGTGTCCTGCCTCTGTGCAGGTGACCCGCTGCTGTGTCTTCACTTCCTGGATCGGCCGGGTGGCCACAGGAGCTCATGACCATGTTGCAGAAGGAAGGGCAGGGAGCAGGGCGGGGTCTGCACTGGCCCACGGTGCCCTGGGCCGTGGCTGAGCCCGCCTGTTTCCCACCCGTGCCCTGCAGGAACCGGCACTGCCGCCTGGTGCAGGAGGGCAAGGAGTGTGTGCAGGGCCTGCGTCTGCGCCACCACTACATGCTGTGCGGGGCACTGCTGCGTGTGTGGGGCCGCATCGCTGCCGTCATAGCCGAGATCACCAGCAGCAGCTATCTGCAGATCGTGCGCCTCAAGACGAAGGATCAGAAGAAGCAAGTGGGTGAGCAGGGACAGGTCCCCCAGAGCCAGGTCCTGGGGCTGTGGAGCGGGCTCAGCTGCTAGCAGCCTTTCTGATGAGCACTGGGCCCGGTGAGTGTGGGCCTGGGGAGCCCTGGGCTCTGGTGTGGGCCTGGGGAGCAGGGGCCCTGGTGAACTCTGGGCGCCAGTGAGCCCTGACCCCCACCCGTGGCTGCAGGCATCAAGATCCCGGAGAGCTGTGTGTACCGCGTGCTGCAGGAGCTGCAGGCAATGGACAAGGACGTGAAACGCAGGCGCAAGCGTGCCCTGGGCCTCTCCACACCGCCGCCTACCCCGTGCCCACTGATGCGGCCCTGTGGGCCCAGCGAGGTGCTGGACCTGACCTACAGCCCACCCGCAGTGCCCTTCCCACCGGCCCCGCACTTCACCTTCCCACCACTGCCCACTGAGCTCCCTGGCCCCACTGGCGCTGGCCAGTTGCTGGGTGCACCAGAGCCCAGGACCGACCCTTGTGACCTGCAGCAGCAAGGCTGTGACATCAACTTCAAGGAGGTGCTGGAGGACATGCTGCGCTCACTGCAGACCGTGCCAGCTGCAGAGCCCCCCAGCCCCGCTGCTGCGGGGGCCAGTGGGTCCACCGAGCGGCAGAGTGTCATCCAGTTCGGGCCGCCCTTCCCCAACTCATAGGCCAAAGCCTGGCAGCCCAGGCCTGGACACTGTCTGGGCCAGAGGTGTCACGGATGTGATGAGCAGGACTGCCTGCTGACCATGGAGGGTGAGCCTGGCCACCTCCCTCCACTGCAGTGCCTTCCTCTCACTGGCCCCCTGCCTCAGTTCCAGGGGAGCCCAGGACATTCTGGTGCCTCGTTCCGAAACCCCAGACACCCTCACTGGCAA